AAAAAAAACTAAGGCATATTTAGGCTTTAGAAAACTTTTGAAATTCGAGCATAACTTTGAGCCATATGCGTCCTGCCTAAGGGAAGGCTGATATTCGCATATGCCACTGGGAAGATACCAAACAGTGCTCATTAAATTTTGCATCAACTGTGGACTAAGTTTTGTCCTTTATGAGGGAGATTAATAAATCGACTGACACAACGCGAGTTGAATGGACTTTAGGCAGGCATAGTTGTAATCTTGCCAAGTCCGCATCCAACCCGGACAAGCCATCACCGTGCCAATTAAGACCCCAAGCAGTGACTCTAGGAGACGGACGGTTAATTATACTACGCACGCGGATGACCGCTACGATCTATAAATACTGTGCAATGTGTGAATGTTTCTCCTTTATCAGCGCATGGCTCCGATTATCCTACCATTGCCTATGATTAAGGATTCCCGGCGGAATCCGAAACATCAGGAGAATAAAACTCTTGTTCTAATGGTCGCATCTTCTTCTTTTGAATTGTAATCTTGTTAAAATGAAAAGAGAGGAAGAAGCATTAACATTGCTCTATGCTTTTCTTTTAGGTGTGAAGCCGATGCACGCATCGTCACCAAGTCGAACCTGACAGAAAATTCGATCAGTCACTTGCTGAAACTTGAAGAACCAGGGGACGAGTTCTCGCAGTAAGTCCGTGTACCGTGGCATTGGATTTCATCCAAAATTATCATTATGAATGCTTTTCCGCTAGCAACCAGTGATCATTCATTCATGTCGCACGTTCGTCAACTGTGAAAGAAGGAGACCTTTTTTGTAAAACTTCCGGCAACAGGAAGCCCAGTTCGGGAGATTTGGCAGAAAACGAAAAAATGGGCAAAAGGTTGGAAAGCGCAGTGGTTTTTCATACTGATACTCAAACTGCACTTGCTAGTTCTATCGATTTCCTCGGCAATGAGGTCATCAAATCGATTAATAGACTCGGCAGAAAGCATCAGAACATTACAAACTCCACAATCATGAGAGTCATCGAGACATTGGCTGTGTGGATGGTGTGATCTTGCTGATTTAGGGGCCAGACTCACTCCGTAGGCGGTCAGGATAATTAAGACGATGTGTCAGTGTTATGTAGAGGGTTTAATTCGCACCTTTTTGCTTTACCATGGGCTGTTTTCAGGCAGGTCAAACAAGATGATACGCGGGTAAAACGTTCTTGAAAGTATTTGTCGTATGACTGAATCGTTAAAATTAATTTTTAGTTTTCAATGTAGGGAACGTGGATAATTTTTTTGCCGAAAAATACTTTTCGGGAATCATTTCTTTATTGTTTTAGTTTGAAAAAATTGCTGCTACCTAAAGTCATCGGTTACAGGGAGGAGCTTAAAGTGAGCATGTGATTACTAAAAGGGCTTTTCCAAAAAACCGCTGTAGGAGCATTTTTAAGGGTTATTTATAAACATCACAACAGTTTACTTTAAATAATTAACTAAATATTTCGTTGTAGTTTATTGTCAAGTTTATTGTAATCATTAGTTTATTGTTTAGTTTTATTAATTTTAGTTTAGGTTGACAGTATTGTGAGTAAAGACATGGGAGACTGAAGCGACAATTTCTGGCTTATTAGCCGTCGTCAGCCAGTTATACCCATGCCCAAGTGAGGTGCCACCAGAGGCCGAAACTCGCGAACTTTTTGATCAGAAGTCGTTGTCTTAACGGTTTAGAGCAGGACCTATTGACACTCGCTAATGAAACTTCATCGATCGGTAACGGAATTCCCTTTACCCATTCTGCCTTGGACCTCATTCCTCGGGCCCTGGTTAGTTAATAGCCCTTGTTGGATCAGGAGCCCCCGCCGGAGTCCAAACTGGGTGCATTTGGGAGACGGAGAAATGCCGCGACCTCAGGCTCTGCATAAAGATGATCGATAGGCGATATTTTATACAGGGTGTCCCAGAAGTAACTGATCCTTTTGATTTGCCAATAAAACG